AAGCTAATGCAAATTCATTCATTCGTATTTATTACATTTGAATATTTATCTTTGTTTTTTAAAGGTATGTAATTAAGCAAGATGAATCAAATACAAGTAGTTCAATACTACCACCTATTGTTTGTTGCTATTAAGTTAAATCTTCTCTCAAATGGGGCCAAGTGTAGTAAGACATAAAACTATAAAACCACAGCTGTATACCTTCATTTTTCTCAGTCAGTTTTTGGGTGGGGGTCTGATCTAAGAATTCACCAAGTCTGGAAGATCAAGTCGGAAAACAGTATAAAGACAACTGTGTGGAAGCAGCTAAATTTGGTCAGTTTAAGGGCATTCTTTCTTCTTCCTCCCTCCCTTGGATTTTCCTGGTGTAATGGAATATTTTATTTTGAACATCTAAAAATACCCTTACAAAACCGCAGTACTAGTTGGATTACTGAAAATTTTAATTCAGTTTCCAACCAGTCACCAGTTGGGAAATAGTAATCTGGGGTCTAGGAATGGAATCTTTGGCCTGTAACAAAAGTACTTTAACTAATTTGCAAGAAAAATAAGACCAAGATTTCAAAAGAGACAACACTGGGTATGTAAATATATAGAAGGACTTTAAAAATCAAGAATAAAAAGCAACACGAACACTAACAGCTAAAAACTGACAGTGACCTAAAACACAAGACCGTAAGACTTTAAAAGTGTGAGTTTACTTCTAACAGAAATACTGATTTAATAAATGAAAATCTTCAATACAGAAATAGATTACATGTAAGAATATAGCAACTTAAATTCAAGAATATATTTTGTAAGTTTTTGCTACGCTAAAAATTTTAAAGACAATGAAAATCATAATAATTTTCAATGTATAATGGTTTATCTTATGTAGGCCATAGAAAGATGTAAACATATGTTGATTTCTAAATAATGAATGACTATAAGTACAAGGTATAATGTACCATGCTTCAAAGATAAAAAGGGACCCATAACTATATAATAAAGAAACATCAATTAACACTATTCAAAAAGGACAGATAGCCTGAATGGGCCCCAAAAGCCTAGACCTCTTATTTGGATTTTCTATAATGTTTTATAACTGCTTTCAAACCAATCTCTAAAGTGCTAAAAACAAAATTCCTCAATTTTACTAGTTTTCTATCTCATTGCACAGCCTTTCAAACAGAGTGAACAAGTGACTCTCACCCACTGGAAAAATATTTAATATTTCCACATGCACTAATTTGGAAAATATGATTATTTGCCATGTTAGAATATTCTTTAGGTTAGAAGATAAAACCTTAAGGAAGTAAAAAGGTCATTACTGCAGCCTTAACAGTACTTGGGCAACTCAGCCTACAAACTTTGTAACAAAATACTGGAGTGGCTGTTTCAGAACAGTCAAGGAAATAGGGTCCTCGGTTTTTATTAGAAAATTAGATTCATAGGATTCTGGAATAAAAGGAAACTTAAAAATTGATTCTAACTCCCTTATTTTGCAAAGAAGGGAAATGATCGAGCCAGAGAAGAGAAATGACTGAAGTTATAGTTAGCTGGTAACAAAAATCAAGAGTAAATATCCAGTTCTTTTAACTCCCAATGCTGTATATTCTTTCTGCTGTACATTTTATGACTTCTCTTATTTTGCCAACAAACTGAACTGACAAAATGAAGCAGGCAATGAAATACTAAAATTTAATCTTACAATCTGTAATATTATAGATTTAATAGAGCAGCAGTGATATACAATGAAAAACAGTAATGAACAGGAATTCAAAATACCCAAAGTGGAGCTTAGCTTATCACTTCCTAACTATGTGAGTCTTAGATCTCCAAGCACTCATTATAGCTTTTTTAAAAATGTTAAGACTTTTTAATAAACCCAAGTAAGAATTTTTCTTCCAATACTATACTATATTCTTATAATGGAGCTACTAAGAGTATGACAAAGGGGAGAGGCCTGTGAAAAATCTAAACTTGGATTCAAGGGCTAGCCTAGATATTTACTTGTGTCTGTCACTTAATCTCACTAAGTGTTAAGATAACATAGGTTACAGTAAAACACACTGCATAGAGAACTTTAGGAAAGTTCTTTTCCACACATTTTATGGGTTTTTAAAAGCTATGTTATGCTAAAAAACAGAGCACAATGATAAGAGTCAAAAAATGCAGATTGGAATCTTGGCTTCCCCACTTACTAGCTGTGTAACTTGAACACGTCTCAGGCCCTAGCTTTCCTCAACTCTAAATCAGAATTATGAGAATAAGCAGTAACTTGAGGTTACATCTAGCTCAGCGCCTGGCATATAGGAAGTATTCAATAACCATTATTAAATTTAAAAGGAAAGTATCAAAATTTGCTACAACCCAGAACTTTATATATAAACTTCATATAGTTTACATAATAGTATGTATTTAAATGATGAATTTCAATTAGGAGACTAAGACAATTCATACATTTGTTATTTATAAGGGTTACCATTGTAGAGATTTAATGTCAAAGTGATACTGCAAAGAAAAATAATTTTCCCATCTCTGTATCTTTTTAACTCTTTTATCCAACAGTCATCTACTTCGGCTATACCTCACGATGCTACATATCTGGCTAACAGGTACTCTTTTCCCTCGATTTTAACTTAAACTTTTTTCTACAGGTCTACTCTTGAGTGTGAGATTTAAAGTGTAGTCTCCAGCTACAACATCCAAAAGCATAATACAGAGAATATTCCCTACAAAAAGATTGTAATGAATCAACTATAGAAAGATAAACTTCAGTTACCATCTACCCAGAAAAAAAAAGCGGCCAAGAAAAAGGAAATAATCTTTCATTTCTTATATTAACCGTAACTAATTTGAAATTACTTATTATTTGCTATAAAAATTACCTAAATTCACCACAAATTCTGAGAGATCAGCTGCTTACCATCCTAAAATTTTCAGTCCTTTAGAAAGTATTCTGTAATTTTGAGAATCTAAAAAATAATTTGATGTAAATGTTTTACATATGAAAAGCCTGCTTTATCTTATCTACACCTTTTATCTGTTGAAAGTCTAAATGTTTTCAACAAATTAGCAATGCACTTATTACTTCATATGCGACCAAATAGTTTGTTTTACTTACTACTTGTAAATTAGGTCAGTAAATAAGTAAATGATTTTAAGAAACACTCAGATAACGAACCCTATTAACACATACCATTTTCAGTCTTTCTCATTTGTATTCTGGTATGAAACACTTCATATCATAATAAAAGAGTAGCTTTTGGTTATAAACAATTTAATCATGAATACTGTACAAGGAGGGGTTTCCCCCTTTACTCTTTATCTTCCCAGATACCTTTAAAAAGCTTCAGTTGCCAGTTACACACCAACCAAGGTAAATAAGTAATAAATTTTCTTATTTTAGTATACAACTACAGGTAAGCTACAAATTAATATATGATTATAAAAATAGGATAGAGTTACAATTCTGAAGCACATACTATAAAAGAATTAACTTAAAAAGTGAAGAGCAAATGATAAAGATCTGACTGCAATGGCAAAAGGCTATTTCCACTCAAATCTTTAGTATATGGGTTTCTCTCACAATTCCTGTTAACTGCTAAGATGCCTATTCAGTAATTTTAATGACAGTCTGGACTTTTATAGTAATACTGAATAGGAAACCATGATACATTTTCATTGGGTCTCTCTACATTAGGACTACATAAAGTCCTATTAAACACCAAAGTATACCTACTACTTTACTCCCATGATCAAGTTAAATATGAAAACTCTAAGGAAACCCAATTCCTTGTTTTTTTCCACTCCTCACCTGCAACAGCCATACTGCAACTCTTAATTTAAATTCCCCGAACAAATACTCTCTACCTTGATCTTTGTGGATAAATTAACAATATTTTTCCCATAAGCATAGAGGAAAAGACTAAACTGAAGACCCATAAGTAACAATTTCACCCTCCGCATCTAGCTGGTAAGTTTTTCTGAAACTCTTGTCTCACCATCTTACAATTTCATCCTTCAAATGTAAATGAAGAAATACCCTAAGTTGAGATATACACTGAGCTGTGAGTGATCCCAGGTCATCCTGATTCTCTGCCAGAAAAGACCAGGTAATATTTACTCTTCTTGTTGTACAAGTTTCTTTTTCTCTGTTATCCCCTCAGTAAACCTTCCTGTGTATTACTATACTGCTGTAATTATCTGTAGTGAGAATACTTCACTTGCTAAGGAATCAATTACTAACATGGTGACTACACTGTAAAGACGCTTTCAGGTATTTTATTTTTCGTCCAGTCCTCAACTCCATGACCATAAGCCTGTCTCCAGAGAAGGACAAGTTCTTAGAGACAAACAGATCTGAATGGATTTTCTCAAGTCTCTCGGTCATTCGTCCCAAACTCAAAGCCTGTACACATTTAAGAGTTCCCAGAAACAATGAGATACAAAAAGCACAGACTAAACGGGAAAGAAGAGGAAGTGTCAGAACAATACCCTAACCAAACACAGCACCGAAAACCCGTGGTCGTCTCTGTCATCTCCGTCTACAACCCTACTTCCCTAGTTTAAGGTCTCTCTCAAAGTTGGAGAATGGCTCCCTGGCCCATCATTTCCCCCTCGCTTTACTAAGAAACGCTTTACGAAGGTGTCAGAAAGAAAAGCAGCAAGCTCCGGTGTGATGGTTTTTCTACCGGGTGGAGGGAGGCAAGCCAAGAGTGGTGTAAAGAATGGAAAGCTGAGTGATACTGGGGGGAGGGGGAAATTAGGGCGCCAGAGCTAATCCCCTGCCCGGGCCCGCTGGGGGAAAAGGCAGGAGGCGACAAACGGGGGAACTGAAGAAAAAGGACTGCACAGGGCTTTTGGGTCGGGAGAAAGGAGAAATAAGTCTGGCAGCGCCAGCGGTCGGAGGCTGACGGCACCAGACAAGGGAGGAGGCTCTGTGCGGAGAGAAATTTTCGGAGCATAAGACCGGGAATAGCCTTCCTGACACCGCCCCAGCCCAGCCAAGCTCACACCTCAAACCTGCTCTTGGTCACTCCGTTCACGTCCCTCCTCATGGGGCCGGCGGGTGCGGCCGGGGCCGGGCGCTGCGGCGTGCGGAGTGCAAAGACTAGGGCCCCCGGGCAGGCCCGGGAGTTCCGGGACTCGGAAGAGGCAGAGGAGCGGCGGGCAGGGGCCGTTGGCGCGGAGGCGGGACCTCTCGGCTCCCGCGGGACCTCCTCCACCTCCCGCAGCGCCCGCGGCAGGGACGACTGCTCTTCGCTTGCTCTTCTCCCTCTTCAGCCTCAACTTCAACCCAAAACAAAAACACTCCCCACCTGCCAGCAACGCCTCTCCTCATTGGGCAGAGCCGCCCGGGCCTTGGAACGCCGTGGGGAGAAGGCGGGGGAGGAGGAGGAGGAGCGCGCGGCGGCGGCGGCGGCGGCGCGGGACCGCCCCTCCCCCACTCCCGGGCGCAGCCACGACGGTCAGCCCGGGAGCAGCTGGAGCGCGGCGGCGGCGAGAGTCCGCTCTTGCCTCCCAGGCTCGCAAGCCCACCGCAAGGAGAGGCAGGGAAGTGCCTGTGTCTGTGTGTATTTGTGTATGGGAGGGACTGCGGGGCGGGTGCGAGTGCGCGCGTGCTCGCAGACCCGTGAGAGGAAAACAGGGCATCTGCCCACAGAGCCCGGACCCTTATAACCCCTCGTCGGGCACTCAGCCCAGTCCAGCCCACTCCGCACTTGAGCTTTCTGCCTGGTCTTCCCAGCCCCCTAAGTCTTGTCGCTTCTGCCCCGGTAGCCTGTGCTGGCACACACGTCCTTCCCGACCGTCCAACTCCCTTCCCCTGTCACTCACTGTCGCCTTGAACCCAAAGTGCAGCAGGCGGTCCCTGCTCGGAGCCATTTTCCTTCTCTCTCCGGTTGTTTCTAGATTGGGGCACTGCTGGTGCCGCCGCCGCCGGTGCTGCCGCCGCCGCCACTCCCGCCTCCGGGGATTGCATTACCGGGTGCTGCAGGGCGTGGGTCTTCTGCATGGATCAGGAGGGTAGGGGAATAACTGCGTTGCCCTCTGCTCCGGGGATAAGCAGTGAAGTCGCACCTCGCGCTTTGGGGTCAGGGGGCGCAGGGCAGAAGCTGGGCGACCATCCCAGTAGTTGGGGGAGGGGCGTGCTTTGATGGAGGTGGGGGCTGGCAAGGCAGAAAGGCCTTCGGCTTCCCCCGCCCTTCCCCCGCCCTACCGCCGCTGGCGCCCAATGGGCTTTAGTGTCTTCCCGTCCTCCAATCAGGGCTCTGGTTGGTGAGAACCTGATCCTGTCGCCACTTTGGCGGGAGAAACAAGCGTGTCTGAGCGAGTAGGCGGGGCGCAGGCGGAGTAGAAATTATGACGTTCTTGACTCCTTGGCTCCTTTTTTAAGAAGCTAGGTTATGTCGTCATATTATTATACTTTAGCAACTCCACTCCTCAAAGCCTCGAAATATGTGATCGAATTACCATGAAGGAATTAAAGAGTTTTACCCTTAAAAGGGCGGCAAACTACAGAATCACGTACCAACGATAAAGTTTTAGACACCATCATAAATTTCAGCAGTCCTGTTAAGACCACAGCCAGCTCCAAGGCAGATCTGAACTTGTCTTCATCTCTTTTCTAATTTGCAACTGTAATGACTGTTTTGTTATGAATCTAGTAAGAGTTGAGCTTATAAGAGCAATTGGTGCTGGAGATCTTTAGGACGTATTTTAGCTGGAAGGCATATTAACTCTTATAGCGCCTTTTCAACTTTTTCACTTTTATCCTAGAAAAAACTTCCTAAGCAAGGACTCTAGCTCCAGAAGCTCGTCAGGCCCACAAACTCAGCTGTAGATGTTATATTCTCCTCCTGTCCAATATGTTTGTTGTTATTGCTTCACTTCAGCCATATAAAATATTAATTTCATTTTATCTGAGAAGTTTTCTCCCAGCAAGAACTGCTGATAAATTTGGTGACTAAAGCCTGCAAAAGACAGTAAAACTGGCTCAAGCAAAAAAAATCAAATGAAGATAACTCACAGGTCTGTTTCCCTGTATTAGTTACTCTTTCCACTTAACCTATTTGGAGTAATACTCAGGGAAGACTTTTACTTTTTGATTGACTGAACCTTTAGAAAGCTAAATAAATGAAAATAATTTGGAGGTTAAAAATTTATTACACAAAAGCATATTGCTTTTTATCAAATAAATTTATTTGCATGTAAATAAACAGGTTCTTTTGTAATGATTAAGAGGGAAAAATCCCACATTGTCTACTTACAAAAAAAAAAAGAAAAACCCCCAAAGTATTTACAGAACAACCATATGCACGGAAAACCAAATTGAAAAAATTTTTTTAGAAAAGACTCTCCCAATGCTCCTAATGTATTTTTTTTTAAACTCAAAAACATAAAACCCAGCTTTACAGCTAAGCTTTTTCCCAACCTAGCTTCTGAGATGTTAAGTACTTCCTACCCTTCAAAAATCAACTCAGGGATAGAAATAAGGGGACAGGAGGATTGAAAAGAAAAAGGGGGGAAAAAAGGTAAAAAGGTAAATGAGATTTGCTCAGGGATTGTGAATGAGTTTGCTATTCTGGCATCTGCTTCAAGTGACTCAACTAGATACTGTATGACTCACTGGCTCCCAGAAAAGGTTTCTTCTGAGAAGTCATTATATTGCTGCACTTCAGACTTAGGCCAAGGAAAATCTTTCCAAGAGACACCAACCTCAAGCCCAATTTTGGCAAATACATCCTGCTTCATTTTTCTCCCCTCTAAAACACTTGTTTTAAAACATACTGATTTTGAACCTGAAATCTTCATGTACATCAGAGCAGGTTTTGACCAAGAACCTCTAACATGAAGCCAAAAGACAAGAGGAATCAGATCAAACTAATACATAAGACACCAACAACAGAAGATAGGTAGAAGTTGACTTCATGTTCTTGCCGTCTTTTGAAACAGGAGTATGAGTACACCAAGACAGGAGGGAGGTGTCCCAGGCTTGGTATATTCTGCCTCTTCTCCTCCACCCTGTGGAGAAATGCAGTGCTCCCTGGTTCTCAGGCAGGGTGAAGCAGTTTAGCCCCGGCGCCCTGTTAAGCAAGTTCAGATGCTGGGTCAATGTGTGGGGTGTGCCCATCGGTAACTCAGGGGCTTATCCTTCATCCAGATCCTAACTCAGGATTCTTTGATCTGGGATGAAGACAGAAAGAGAAAAAAAAGCTTCCCAGTTTACTCATTTTGGCATTTGGTGGCTCTGCTTAGGGAAGCTGAGCCCGGGACACTATGTAGTACATTCTCCTTAATATGTTCCCCACCCAGAACAAATTTAAAAACCATGTAATTTTTTTTTTCCTTTTCTGCAGAAACCAATGGGATAGGATTCAAAACTAGGTGAGAAACTTGTGAGAAATCCAACCTGGTTGTATGTCTGAGAGGCTGCTAATGTATCAGCATCACAAGATAAAGCACTCTGGTATCACCTTGCTCATGTCCTCCTTAGTGTCACCCAAGACATCTGACTCTGATACGGTAACCGATAACTTTTTTTGCTCCACTTTGCAATATTTCATTTCCTACTTCTTATTACCTTGGGACAAAAAAGTGGCAGAGTTGTTGAGAGCTGATAACTAGAAAAGGTAGAACACTAGAGGAAATCAGAAACAAGAAATAAAGCCAAAGCTGATTTTCCAATTCTATGCTAATTCCAACCTTCAGAAGAGCTGAATGTAAGAATCTTCTTCTTCAGTATCTGATGAAGTCACTCCGTTTATGACACACACACACAAATGAATCACCTGGCTTGTTTGTTTTTAATCCAGAAGAGTTGTGCTGGGGACTGTGCCCCATCCTACTGATACAGACAGATCCTGAATAGAATCATCAGGAATGGCACAGTGCAGGTGTCAAAAATCAAAGTAAGGCTGCAGATTTTGAGAGGACCCTCCAAATACTGAGACTTGTGTTGCACTCAAATGGTCTCCTGGATTTCTACATTTATGAGAAGGGCTTCTTATTGATGTCCCCCAGAATCCAGACTCAGACCTATTCCTCCAAAAAGGTCCAATTGTGTTGCTACATAGTAGCAAAGATTTATCTTCATGCCCACCTAGCATTCCAGGCCTCCATTAGTTCAAGTAGGCTTGAAATTGTTTTAAGTGAACTATGGCTGCAAATTTTTTAGTTTTATCAAAGGGAGCATATGGTGGAGTAATAAAGTCTGGGCTCCCTCTCCTTGTGATGAAGAGAAACAAGGAGTCCAGCTCTCGGGAATGGCATCAGTTCTCCTACAAACAAAATGCTGGGATATGAACTTTTGGCACACTGTGGAAATAGGAGAACTACTAATTCTGTAATGGTTTTCATGCCACTGGGTCAGGGATGCTGTCCCACATTAAACCTTACTACATCTGAAAACATGTTTACATCCCAAAAAGCCAGCCCAGCTTTTTTTAAAGGAAGAGAGAGACTATAATCAATACCTCTACAGGGTAATACTTCTAATATTCATATGATGTCTGAACCCTATGAAAAACCTCCTAAAACAAAAATACAATTATGGTTTTTCTACTTAACTTCAAAGGTGGGCTCTGACTAATTGCTTGGACCTGATGCTATAGGACCAGCACCAGCTACAAGCTCCTTACCACTAAATAAGCCTTGCTCTTCCACCTCCCATCATTTTGAACCCTGAACCTCATAGAATTAGAACACTGTATAAAAACAAAGGGTTAAAATATTACAAATAAATAGCTAAAATTATCTCCCCTCCCCCCAATCACTCCTAAGAAACAGACACCAAACATTACTGAAGTGTCCAAAATGACCAGTCCTTCATTTGCCCATGCCTCAAATGGACAACTACCTTCAAAAAGGTGAACAACCTTCATGCAAATGCATCAAGGAATGTATTGCTTTTTCATTTTCTGCCCAGTCCTTCAAATACATGCACTAAAATGAGTTAAAACATGGCCTAAAAATGCAAAAAGGGAGGAAAAAATATATGAGTATTTCCCACAAAGCTGTTTCCCACCCTTCCCTCTCCCTATGCCCCTCCCACCCCCTCCCTTTAATAAGCAAGTATTTTAATTTTTTCTGGCAAAGGAACAAGTGATTCTTGGTAACAAGAATCAAACCCTATGGTTTCCATAGTAGGGTCTAGCTATGCCTTTCTAAATTGACCCAGATTGGTATCAAAGCCATACCATTTAAGATTCTTAAACACAAAGTAAGACCTGTCTGACTCGCCCCTTGTGGTGGTTTGTCTATAAACTTTTTCTCTGGTGATGTTTTCTTGTCTTACAAAGATTCCTAATTGCCAATCAGGGCCACATCCATAAGATCGTCATCTTCCTCCCCAATCATGAAGTCAGGGCTGAGCCTTGAGGGCCTCTCTGTAGATAAGATTGTGTTACTTGTCATAGACAAGGACTGGTCTGAAGAGATGGGTGATTTGGACCAACTCTCTGGCTTGATGCTATGAGATTTTTTCTTGTCTCGGTCTTTGTCCCGGTCCCGATCCCTGTCTTTGTCTTTTACTTTCTTCTTTTCTTTTTTGTGCTTCTTATGCTTTTCTGTGCTGTATTCTGGAAGTGGTCGAATGCCATCATCTGAGCTGGGACTGTTCTGGTATGATTTCTCTGCTATGGAGGAGCCTGACTCACTTTCGCTGTCCAGATTCTGAGGGGTATATGCTGGTGACTTACTATGGCTGGGAGAGCCACGCTCATGCTTTGGAGTAGAACCACTGATGAGTGGAGAGCCATAGTTTTTGGAAGAAGCCATCTGAGGCCTGAGCCCTTCTCCACTACTTTCCCCAGGTTTCTGCAAAGTCACTTTGGCTTTAATGCTGGGAGATCCCCCATCATGCTTGCTGATGATGATTTTTGCCACACCAGTGCTCCCCACATTTTTCACCTCTGAGGTCTTCTTAGATGAATCCAGTGAGCCCCCAGGGGTGGAAATCTTTGATTTGTCTTTATCACTTTTCTCACGTTTGCCCTGGAACTCTCCTCCTGTCATGTTATGTTTGGAGGACACAGGATGACTAGAATTTGTGCTCACCCCCATCTGGCCATCCATTGGGTCTTCACCCCCAGGACCACTGGTGACAACCCCATGCTTCAGTTTATCTATGACAGCTGTTAAAGATGGCTTCTTATTTCTGCTGGGAGATTTCCCTTTGGAACTCCCATGCTGGTTCTGAGAGGATGACATGGAAGAGCTACTTGAGGGGAAGGAAGAGGAAGATGCTGTACAAGAATTAGATGATGGGGGAGTTTTCTGAGACAGTGAGCCTGATGATCCTAACCCTGAAGATGACTTCATGCCAGTGCTTGAACTAGTTCCAGACATATGAGAACTACCAGAACCTGAACTGATAGGGGACTTGGCTTTAGAGGATGGGGGAGTCCCAGGAACAGGCTTCATTGGAGAGGCAAGCTTATCAGAGCCTCCAGGTGGCCTTGAATGAGAAGGGGATATGTTTGGTTTACTTAAAGAAGGGTTAATAAGTGATGATGGCTTCCCTTGAGGTTTCATCTTGGTGCTGCTGGAGCCACTGCTCAGTCCATGCTTGGTAATGGGAGAGGAGCCTGGCTTCCCTCCAGACTGGGATGAATTTTTGGACTGGCTAGATCCAGAAGACCCTTGGCTAGAATATATACTGCTACTTAACTTGGAACTTGATGAACTTTCTGACTTACTGCTTTTCATCTTTCCTGAGCTGGAAGCAGATGAGGAAGAGGAAGAATGGCTATGGTGGCTTTTACTGCCTGAGGAAGACACAGAACCACCACTGGTATACTGACTGTGGGAAGAGGGTTTGCCCACCATCACCGTTCCCTTAGGAATCTGAATAGTGATTTTGGGAATAGGTGGTGTGGCAACACCTGGGGGAGTCTGAGATCTTCCTGAACTGCCCGGAGATTTAGATCCACCTGTACTGGTAGGTGGGGTGAAAGGTCGGTTAGAAGAACTGTGAGAGGGAGACTTTCCCTCAGTGTCTGCCTTCTTCCGCTTGGGAGGCTTATCTTTGCTTTTGCCATCATTAGAAGGGGTCCGACTGCGCTTCCCTGGTTTGCTATCTAATCCTGGCCCTGACAGACTATTATTGGTGCTACTGCCTTCCTTTACCCTCTTTTGAATCTTTTCTTTCCCTAAGTCCCCAGTGGTCAATAAAGGACTTTGGCTACGACTGTGATGCTCCATAAGATCTGCAGGACCCAAAGCCTTACCACCCACTGCTATAATACTGAAATCAACTGTGTCAGCTTGGCTATTACCTTTAAATTTAGTCTCCCCATTATCACCTCCAAGCATTGGCACCCCCAAAGTATTTAGTGCCTGAGATGCAAATCCTTTGAAATCATCATTATCTCCACTTTGGCTGCTTTCATCAAAATACTCTTCTCCAAAACCACTTTGGCTCTGGCTGTTCAACAAATCAGGATTGAAATCTACTCCATCAGGAAAAAAATGATTGGTAGGAGAGTCACTGCTGGGGCTTCCAGCAGCATCTGCAATAAGGTCAGCTGGATCAGTGTATGGATTTTCATTATTATTGGTCTGAAAGACATCAGGATCAAAGAGGGCACTCTGAGAATGCCCAGAGCTTGAAGAATCTCGAACAGGGGTGCCAATTGGTGGACAATCGTCACTAGTGCTGGGAAGCTTAGAGGCTTCTTCTGCAATGTCTGAAAGGATATCAGTTACATCTGGGCCAATGCTGTCTGAACTGGATAGTCGAACCATCCTTTGAATACTGGGTTGGGGGTGAGGTACTGTTTGTGGGTAGGTTGTTGGGGGAGTGCTACACTGGCTTGGAGCTGGAGTGATGTGTGGCGTATCCAGGGTGTCAGCTGTCATGTTGACATCAAAGATAGGGTTCTGTGAGTCAACATCCATTGAAAATAGCTCCCTCTGAAAGTCATCTTCAGTCTGGTGCTTGGGTTTGTCAGGTGGTAATCTTGATGACTTCTTCTTCTTTGTCTTGTTGCTTCCCGAGCACATTTCCATCCGGGGTGAGCCGGAAGAGGACTTCTGCCTTTCTAAAGGGCTGCTTCCATAAAGGGTTGAGAAATCCTGGGCAGGATTATCTTTAAGAAGGTTCATGAGCATCGGGTGGTTCTTGGTGTTGCCGGCCATCGAAGAGACAGGTGGCGGCGTGTGATGAGGAGGGGTCGGACTCGAGCCAATGGTAGACCCCCCGTTCCCTGTGATTTGCAACAAACTGGTAAGAATTGGGTTCTGAGACACCTTGCTGAAGTCCTCCCCATGGCCCACCGACTCATGCCGATCTTTGATGCTCATGCTCATATTAAACAAGGTGGTAATGGGACCCCCCGGAAAGGTGTTGGTTGGTGTGGTGGTACCACTCATTGGGTTGTTGCCTGTGGTCATGCCATACCCTGGGCTGCTAGCCGGGGGCAGGTTCTTTTTCACCATGTCTTCAACTGTCTCTGCAATGAGGGACAGTGCTGGGGTGTCGGCCTGAATGGTTTCAGCTTTCCTCCGAATAGCCCTCATCGTCACAGGGATGGACATACATCTGTAAGATAAGATGGAAAAAACAGAGTTAACATTGCACTCACTCCTGAATGAAATCAATTTTTCATTTGGAAAACAGGCTTCAATTTTGCCTGAGATTTAAATATGCCATCAGAGGTTTGTGGTAAGTAGTTTTCAGGTAAGGCAAGTAACCTGAAAGGCAAGAGTAGTTCTATGAAATGCCAGAGCTTTGGGTAAATTCATTCTAAAAAGAATCTGTCAACCATTAACTTCTTTTGAAGCACCACCAAAAACCAACCAACTATAGACATAAACAAGGGTCCAAATAATTAGGTATCATATTGAAAATTTATAAAAAATGAACTTATTAAGAAAATGCCCTCCTTTCAGGGCTTCACATGTGATTAATGGATTATATTATTTATCTTAATTAATGAACCACTAGAAAAATATTTTAGCCCATCAAGTTCTAAACTTAATGGCTTAGAGCACCCCAAAGCTATATGGTGAAAAGTGCTACAACTTGTATGAAATCCTGTTCATTTTAGGGCAAAGCACTTTTTATCTTACAGATAAACTTATATTTATAAACATGTGTTTGAAAACATTTTACTTTAGAATATGTCAGCAACCTTTTTAAAGGGCAAGATAGTAACATTTTAGTCTTTTGAAGATCATATGGTTTCTGTCCAACTAATCTGCCATCTTAGTGCAAAAGCCACAATAGACAATACGTAAATGAACAGACTCTGTTCCAATGAAAATTATTTACAAATCAGGCCACTAGTATCTTCTCTAGAAACATCTCAAAATTACATATTAATGTTATCTGGGAGGTTGACTGGCTTAAGTTATCTTCCCACATACTGTCATTTCGCATGTTACAAATGTTAAAAAGTGACACAGAGGATAAGTGAAAAAAGATCTCACTCTTAGTTCAGCTCTTTCCCTCCTAAAAAAAGCCCTAGTGTGGGGCATCAAGTAACCTACCTTACTTCCTGTTAATCTCGTATTTTAAAAACCAAAGCTAATAATGTTTTGAATCCAAAAGCAGAGAAGGGTGAATTCAAACAGTGATTATGTGCTTTCCTCCTAAATTCCCAAGTCACTCTAATACTGAAAAAACACTCCTCCTAATGGGATTCTAACGGAAAAGGGCCAGTGCTACCTTTGAACAACTTTGGCAATGAAGTCATCTGTGCAGATGAGTGCATCTGACAGCCCCTTGTAGAGTTTACAGTTCACATGTGTTGAGTCCTGCACATCCATTACCACTGAAAGACAAAATACATAGGAGATATTTGAGATAGATTCAGCTTCTTCCTTTTCAAAAAAAGATAAAGGGACCAAACTGCTGTTCTGAGAGAGGTGCTAGCCACCCATACAACTCACCACACACCAGGGAGTCATTCACAGGATGCTGAAAGGATACACTGAAACGGGACTCTGAGAGAGGACACACTTCAAATTGGAGGAGCCCAGGAGAATCTAAAGGCAAAGGAAAGGATCATGAAATAATCAACCAAATATAAGACTTGAGACAAGTAGTAAATAATAATCCTTAAGTAAATTCTTTCTCTCTCCTTGGAAACTAAAACCCGTATTTTTTACAACAAAACTTACTAAGTCATCCACAGGAATCAGAGTCCAAGAAATGTGCCAATTTATGTTATAAATACTCCAAACAAAGAAGTAAAGAAATGTCAATTTTCTAAAATTACAGCATTTAATCCCTAAATTATTATTAAAGACCTTGGCAGACAAACACGCTGCCTCAAAAGTGAATTCTGAAAATAAATGTCGCCAAGTGGAGTTTTTCATTCCATGTGAGCAGACTTCCAGAATCACTTCCATAAACTCTGCTTCCTATCAGTGTTTGCAGCTGTGAGCCAATCAGCCCACAGTTTGGTAGGCATGTAGGTAAAAGCCACAATCTAAAACATTTGTGTCAAACACACATATATCCAACTGTCATTATAGGTTCCTAAGCAAAACATGCTGATAGCCCAGAGACTGGATCATATACTTTCTTGGGAGAAAGCATGTAGTAGGACTAACTTCATAACTACCTTACAAAATTACCTTTAGATGCCCTGAAGCTATTTGGAGAATTCTCCTAGCATTCAAATACATGAAACAGAAGGACCATAAAGCACACATGCATATGTGTCATTACTCCAGTATGCTAAAATCACTCATTTCTAAAGCAATTCTTACTCCCATAAAAGGTATCTCCTGATTTATCATCCCTGTTTCTTCTTGCCTGCCATTTGCACTGATACATCTCTATCACTTAAGTACTATACAACTAAGGTAAAAACATTAACTGTGGCTAACAAGGGCAGCCAAAATTCTTATCAAGGCTTCTAATAGCAAATTGTTTGAAAAAATATCAGCATTCCAGAATCCTGGGAGAAAAAGAAAAGAGTACAGGTCTCGTACCCCTTTTTAAGATACAAGATTAAGTTCTCCAAAGAATGGGAAGAAGACTTAAAACTTAAGAGCTGGGAAGAATTGTCCTAACAACAGAAACCAAGACTCTCTTTCTACAGCATCTCAATTTCTGTCTTCATTATCTGCTGCAAGTTTCTACTTTATATATCTTAGATACTAATTATATCACTGTATGTAGGAAAAGATTTAAGTCCATTGCAAAATAATACTGGTTTCCAAATGCCAATTTACAGATTGAGTCCATCAAAATTATCTGTGGAGCTTAAACTAGATTCCAAACTCATCCCACTGAGGTTCTAATTCAGTTCTTTTGGGTATGGAAATCAAGTATCTGTATTTTTAAAAGCTCTACAGGTAATGTGATGGGCCATAAAAATTAAAGAACTGCTAGAATAATCAGTTTCCCCCTCCTAATAAATAATTCAAAGAGAAATGCAGTACCTTCTTTCAGAATAGTTCTTTTAACACAGCTTCCAATTAGCGTATTATAGGCCACTTGGTGTCTGATCAAATTTAGGATAAGTGGAACCCGGCCAGGGTGCTGAAAGGTGATTTTGCTAACAAGGGTTCCCTGTAGACTTCTGCCATCTGGAAGAGGAGCATCCTTGTTGAGGAAATAGCAGTGCTGCTGACCCGGAAGAGCCTGGGCAAAAAGAAGAAAGGGAACAAATTCTATTTACTCATCTGTTGTACTCCAACCACAAACTACCCTGAAAAACCTAGCTCCTCAAAAATCAGCAATTTCTTAATGAATAACAGAACTCCACAGGGCATTCTTTGGTCAATTGATGTTATAAATGCCAATTACTCATCTGACTAAAAAGACCCCTTTTTGTTAAAGATTTGCTAGTGGTTTGCTAACCTAGCCAAAACATAAAAATTACCTCAAAATCTACATAAAAGGTACCTAAGCCATAAATACACAATCTGTACTTTTAATAAAACACCCTATATATTATAATGCAGCCAGAATTTGGGAACTACTTTAGACTATTATAAACATTCAAATATATTCAAGTCCAGATGAGGTTTTGGAACCTTCCTTAATTTATTCATTCTAGCACCATTTTCTCTGTATGTACTTGATGGACCTTTCCAGATTTTAAGTTCATGGCACTTGAAAGAATTAAATAGTAAGAATTCTTTAACACCTACTAAAAAGCCTATAGAAGTTAAGAATACCTTAGAGGACTGTCATCCAAAATTTCAACAATGAAATGGACATTTTTTGTTTCCTGACTTGGGAAGCTCATGCTTTCTTTCTTCAGTATGTTTCAGATATGATCCAATGGTCCAAGAGAATGTTATCTGACCTCAATAATCCTATAAAGGAAGATTCTGGGTCTAAACATAACCTGTAACAATCCATAGGGCTTACTTACAGCATAAAATCGCATATTGTGATTCAAGGGTAGGGGGTCAGGGTCCTTTGACAGCTCAAATTGAGTGATCAGTTCATACAGGGGAACATAAGTTGGTTGAGTTTCAAACAATGGAATTCCTGGAAAAACAAGATCAATATATATAATGATCACAATAAAATCAAAATTTCAATAGCTCAGTTTTCCCCTCATGACTTCTACCTCTTACGGCCATGTTTCAAAAAGCACTTACTAAGCGTTTACTAGTACAAAGTACTATAACATCTATACCCATCAGTACTTTTTTAAGGCCTGCAAAACTGAAAGAGGTCTAAAATAATCTAAATTTGCAGTATGATTTTCACATTTGTGTTAACTATTAGCTGTTGATGCTTAAAACTCACCTGTGCAGTTCTGAAGTTTCTGAACAAATGCTCTAGATACTGGAATTGGCTGGGGAAATTTCAAGAAGAAACAAGCAGGAAGATCAACACTGTTGGCACTGGTGACTGAAGAAAAAGAAGGGGTCCTTCAAAAAAAGAAGGGGAAGGGTAGTATTTTTTAAATGAAAATGAAAAATCTACCCCATTCTTAAACATGTCCCTATCACATAAACACCTATTCACAAAGCCTACCAAAAGCTCACTCTTTGATCTTTCTTCCTCCAATTCCAAAACATTCTATTAACTCTAACATATTCAGGCAAACATCTATCCTGACGCATGTTCTCTAATTATTACTCCAACATAACCCCAAATCAACATGAATGCCATAAGATAAAATGAAGCAATCATTAAACCAGAGGAATCAGCACAGTTCTCTTCTCTTTCAGGATAGAGAACATGTTTTATGAACAGACTTCAGAAAGAAACACTTAAATAGATAATGAAAAGAGAAATTAAATGGATAAAACAAAAAGCCCATCTTTAAAAAGTGGGGGAAGAGCCAAGTATAAGTAATACTTGTTTCATATGGGCTTGAAGTTGAAAAAATTGACTTTGTTATCCTAGAATTATATTAAACTTACTTACCATTTGTTGTCAACTGGATGTGACCCCATAATTAATGGTGCAATTGGGAGTTTATACATAGCAGATGTCCCTTCAATTGTCACTGATGCATTCATGCCCAAAGATCGAGGAACTGGGAAGAGGGGAAAAAAGTCATTCTCCAAAGCACCACAAACTTATTAGGATCTTAACATTAAAAAAAAAGACATATACACACACAAAAACAGGCCAATTTATGCATAATTTGTCAACCCTATTTGTCAGATATTATAATGCCTATATATCTTAGAAATGTTAAGTTTATTTTTAGCCAACTAATGTTTCTCTGTGAGTAAATAAAACAAAATACACAGAACGCAATCCAAGAAAAGTTTTTTAATAGGCTCACTACTGACATATACATAGTTTCTCCAACGTCAGAGTACATTTAAATAGAATTATAGTTATAGGATTGTCAATGATTGAAGTAACCAAATAAGGTATTACACCATTTCTCATTATGTGTCAGCATATTAAAATACAAACAAAATAGTATCCATTTTTGTAATTCTTGAGTAAGTTTAAGTTTCTTCACCTTTAAAGTATTGACTTAAAGGGAATTATTTCAAGTCAGATGCTTTATATCTTTTCATTCACTAACTCATTAGGTTTTTATTATTATATGTGTATCTTGTGTGTGTGTGTCTATCAGGTGCAAACTCTGGTAGAGATGGCAAACTTAGGAAGTAGCAAACCAGGAGAACAGAAGGCCCAGGATTCAAAATTTTAAAAATATTTTGTAAACACTGGACAGAACCTTCAGTTGCTTTACAGTTGAAGTCTTACCTTTATTTTCATGCAAAATGATGGGAGATGTAGTCTTATCATCAAGCAGGTCAGAAGGAGAGGCATAGTACTTCAAGTTCATTAAGTGACCTATAGAAAAAAAATTATCAGTACATCTGTATCAGGTAAATTATAAAGAAAAGCATTCCCATTTCTATAAACTATATACAAGAAAATAGACTGACAGATATGAGGACTTATGCTCCAAAGCAGCTTATGAAATATGACAGTAGTGTAAATACTGATTCTAGTGGCAACAATTTACTTTGTAATTAAAAATAATAATAAAGCTGGAGAGAACAGGTGTTGACACCTTAGAAAAACTGACTATTTTCTCCCTCTACTTATAAACCCAAGATGATGATTTAAATAATGACCCCTCAACTAAAATTAGACATTTTTCTAAATAAGCAAAATAGGATCACATACCGCCACTTCTTGGAGTGAGATAGCCAACACTTCCATGAAGAATCTTATCCAAGGGACCAGCATTGGTTGCTTTCCTGCAAGACAAATGATCTAGGTTTACTTGTATATAAGTCTTAAAGGTATTAGTGCACAATGTGATGAATCCAGCTCTTATTAAGTCTTATAATACTACTCTAATGCCTCTGTGCTGTAATTGGGTATGTAACAATTATATTTCACCTTCAAAGTGAAGGAATTATTCCCAAGTGTATATTAGTATGTAATATGGTAAACAAAAATTACAACAGACTACTTATCAGATGGGAGGCTAAGTTTGACAAATCTGCATATAAAACCTGTGGTTCTTTTTAACGAACTTATGGATAATGATACTCAGTAAATGGAATGCAACCATTATTTGGGAAGAGAAAGGAGATAGACAAGATGTATAATAAAACAGGACCTTAGAAATCCCCTAGATGAAACTTTAAGAACAAGGTATCCAGAAAGGTCATATAGAATTGACACCTTAGATGGTCTTACCAATACATAACTGCCATTTTTGATAGATCTTGTTCTAAGGATTGGAGAGCCAAATACATTTTAGTCTTCAGTTTGCTAGAAAGTATGTGAAGAGAATGAGAGTTAAATAATTGAAAAATATGCATATCCACATATCCACAAACATTAAACAGAAAATCTAGACGGCAAGTCTATACTAGAGGCAATTAAAAGATCCATAAAAAACAAACCTTTAGAAGGTTAAAAAGAAAAAATATCAATAGTGATTTCTCAAAGCTAATTTTTATCTGTTTAAAAGAGCCTAGCAGATTAGTAGAATCCCAGGTAGTTTGAAAAAAAAGATAAACTTGTTACACAATACCTACTTTGTTTCAGCCTAAAAATAGATATGCTAAAGACATCTCAAAAATATAGTCTATCTTTAAGCATTATAATCCATTACTGCAGATACTGTTTATTTAAAATAGGCTTAAAAGACAAAGTTGAAATCTGAGCTATACATTGTCAGAATAAGAAGGAAATCACAAAGACAGAAGATGTAGCAAATTTCTAAGCATAAAATGGTTTCTAGATTCGTATTGATTTTTCCAACAAAAGCAAAAATAGTAATACTTACTTGTCCCCTGGAAGGTTATAAAGATTAACAAGACCCTTAAGGTGCTTAGAAAATTCATCAAAATTTTTTTCCCTATAGGGAGTTTAGGGGAGAGGGAGGAGAATAAAACATACAATTACTACTCAATCTCAATAGCAAAGTACCAAAAGTCATGGCTATATAAAACTAATTTTACTAATTTGCTTTATTTTTTTTCTCCCAGCCAGTTTTCTAAACCAGTCAAAAGTAACAAAAGAAAATGAAATGTTTCCTTTCTCTGCCCCATTTTTCTGGAAAAGGTGCTAATAAGCAATATAAAAGAAATTCAAAAGATCTAACAATTCATATACTACTTTGCTCCAAAGTAATGAGACTTGGTTTAAATAAATCACTTTTTCTTCTTAATATGTAACCAAAATGACTGGATGTCATGAAGAAAAATAACAATTGGAGAGAAAATGGAAGTAATTTGGGAAGACAGAATATTTGCATATATACGGCAACATAAGAACAGAGAAGGAAAATGAACATGAGAGAGATCGGAGATCTAGAGAAAAGGGAATTAGTACTATGGAGGCAAACCACACATTCCAATATGTTCCCATGACTAGATCTGCTCCAGGGAAAAGAAACTATTACCATGACCCTTGGCTTCCTAGAATCCAGTATTTACGGCTGGATTCTTAGTCAAACGGGCTTCTGTGAGCAGGCTTTGGAATCCAACACAACTGAACAATTCTAACTCTCTGTTATCCTTTTTCAAATTAAAAAAAAAAAAATGTTTCTTGAAAGCTAAATTACCCTGACAAAATCAGCTACTTGGGTCAGGCATTTACTGAACATTTGTTGAACATTTACTGCCCAAAGTGCCATGAAGACAATAAAAGGAAACAAGAGCAGCAGCAAAATTTATTTCTAGCTTAAAATCACCATCTGTACTAGTAACCTCACTAGAAGGGGGTGAGGATCTGATAATGCAGGTAACTGCTGAACCACTGTGCTGTACATCTGAAACCAATGTAAGATTGTGTATCAACAATACTTCAATTAGAAAAAAATTCCCATCTACACAAAGTGACCAAAAATATCAGGTAAAAGCTAATATTCTGAGATTTCCACTTCCAAAGATGCTTACAAATTAACTTTAGAACACCATGAGTTCAAACATTTGTGCAGTCTCCTACTCCAGATTAGAACCAGAATATTGCCTTACTTGTCTATTCTGATAATACACCTTTGCTAGACTTACTGACTCAATGAAATCACAGAAAATTTGTTTTTTTATGTTGCACTGCATTTTTTTAAGCTGGTTCGAATTTTGTGCACTTGGCTATAAGCACATTAAACTGATTGTTGAAAAGGCTGAATGTGAAATTATTTCCTTAATAATAATAATACCCTTCCAAGACATCTCCATGTGGCATTTGAGAACTTCTCTATATAAAATTGGTGTAATGACTTTCTCATATTCCCAGAAAGTTAATTCTGGGTTTACATTTAAGCATGGAAATTCCTACTCAATTCAAAGGGAAAAGATAAGTCAATGGAAAAAGCTATCAGTTGCTATAACAGACTGTCTTCAAGGGCTGTCCTCTAGCACTTCACTATGATGGGAGTTTATCACATATATACCTTAAGTGTAAAGCAGTTTTCCTCAAAATTAGAGTGGAAAAAAGTTCCTTTCATGGTATAGATGCCATTCTCTCAAGCCTTTTCTGATTTAAATTAGATTCTATTTATTTTTGTTCCACACAGAATTCCTGTCTAGATCAGTAGTTCTCAACCAGGAGAGATTTTGCCCTCCAAGGGCCCTTTGACAACATCAAGGTATTTTTACATCACAACCAGGAGACAGTACTGGCCAACAAGTGGAGAGAGGCCAGGGATACTGCTAGCTATTCTGCAAGGCACAAGGCAGGCTCCCAGAGCAAAGAACTTTCCAGTCCAATTGTCAGTACTACCAAAGTTGAGAAACCCAAGGACAGATTAGGTAGAATAAGAAATCAAGCTCAGTTGACTCTGAGAAATGAGTAACTTGAGAATCTCAACAACCTTGACCCAAGAAAATAATTTTTTTTCTCAGAAAAGTAACTTCTGACCAGCCTCAAAATCTAGCTATAAAGAACAGCACTGTCTGCCAATATCAGTGAATGTAAATATCATTTGCTCACCTTAGCTGCTGTACAAGCTCTGGGCAGCTCTGAAATTAAAGAAATTATATTGAAATTTTAAACTACTTTAAGACTTCTGAAGACATTCAAAGTTTTCTCTTGTACTAACAATACATGGTTTATAACAAAAACATTAAAACTATAGAAGGTCCTTATATTAAGATATCAAAAAGCATCTTCTTTCTACTTGGTAAACCATGGGTTGGGGTGGGAAATTAAAGATCAAAAAAGAATCAATTTTCAGTGACTTGTATAAAACATTAGGACCTCTCTAATGCCATCATTGGACTCCATATCCACATGTCTGGTTACACACATTATACATTCAACTCTGTTACAGGATGTTTCAGAGATATTAGTTATGCAGAGGATTATCTGTCCTTCTTGATTATAAGTTCTTTGAAGATAGGAACTTCCAAGTTATTTATCTCTGCATCCCTCGTACCTACTGTTCAACTGCGGCTCATGTTTGTTGATCTGAAATGGAAAGGGTTCCTCTGGTGTTTCCAATTGTCAAAGCCTTTGGATCATGTCAGAGATGGACCCGTGTTATTCTAAATCCTATTCTATAACTACTGATATTGTAGTCCATCACATCATCACTACAGTGGCTCATGAAAAACCTAAACCCAAGCTACTTCAAACCCCAAGAATTCAAAGTTAATGTTCCTATGTAAACCCCACAGATTCCAATAAAATATCAACAACACATACCACAGGATTCTCCCCATGGTGAGCCACTTTTACATCACAAAGCTGTCCTGCAGGATCTAACTGCACTTCCACATAGAACATATCTGACGTGATGTAACATTCAGTGCCACTGGCACTGAGATGAGAGCCCAGTCTAGCAGGAACAAACCAAAACAAAAATTAATAGAAGACACATAAATAAAACTACCCAAAGTCAACACTAAGTTAAACATTTTTGCCTACAGATAGACTACTTACCCATTCTGTCTTGCTATAGACTCCAAACGGTCAGTCATTGCTGGTAAAGATGTTACTATAAAAGGGTGAAAAAAGGAAATCAAAAAGGATGCTCCAAATCAATTCTATTCTTCAGACAGAAACACCCTGAGGAGTATATCCATCCTTCCAAAGCCAAACACATCAATTGTTCAAATGCTTATAATTTATACAAAGTTAACATTAGTAAGGCTTAGCTCTAACTTAAGCAGTAATAATGGTTGCATTATTTATTGGGACATTATCTTTAATTTAAAGAAGACACATTTATCTGCTAAACAAGATTAACATTAAAACCAACATAAAAACAAGCACTCAATGTGCACAGTGGTGTTACTCACAATAGCCAAAAGGTGAAAACAAACCAAGAGTCCATCAGTGGATGAATGGTTAAACAAAATGTGGTATATATATATATATATATATATATATAATGAGATATTCATTTCTCTTAAGAAAATTCTGATACAAAATAGATGAACTTTGAACATATTATGCTAAGTGAAATAAGCCAGTCACAAAAGGATAAATACTATATGATTCCACTTATATGAAGTACCTAGAGTAGTGAAATTCTTAGAGACAGGAAATAGAATAGTGGTTACCAAGAATTGGGGAGAGGGGGAAATGAGGAGTTATAGTTTAATTGGTACAAAGTTTCAGCTTGAGAAGATTAAAAAGTTCTGGAGATGGTTAGTGGTGATGGTTGCACAATGTGAATGTACTTAATGCCAGTGAACTCTACATTTAAACTGGTAAAAATGGTAAATCTTACATTTTACCACAACTTAAAAAAAAAAAAGCAATAGCCTCCACCTCCACATAGTATGATACTTCCACACATTGGGAGGGCCACCAGAGTTTTCAAAGTTGGAACTCTGTGTTGTGCTGCAAGTAACCTACTCCCACAAAAGTGGGGTCCTCTATATTTTGATGAACTAAATGGGGTTTCTTATCAGGGAAAGAAATTTTGGAAGGGGTAATAAAGGTTGTAGGAACCCCTCTGACTTGAAATTTCAAAGGAAATCCAAGGTGGGAGAAAAAACAGTATTTAGATGAATCAGGTTTTTTTTGTGATGATCAGAATAAAATTTGTTTTTAATTTTTATTTCCCAATTAGACAGAAGTAGTAATTATAAGCATGAAAATCAAGCTCATGATTTAAATTTGTTTGCTTTCCTGAAAACATTATCCATAAACACTATAAAAATCTCTTGAGTTAAAATCTTCTGAGAGTTAATTAGAAGAGACTATGTAAAGGGAAAAAAAAAAGTTTCTCCTGCTGTCTTACACTTACCATCATAATTCTTTTGAGCAGCTTCCAAAATAGGATCAAAAATAAATGTTTCAAAAGTTTAGGGTAAGAGCTCATCTGAACTCCATAATGAAAGCAAGAGCAACACCTAGCATAGAAGGTTGACCTATCTCAATTTATATTTCTAGTGTAAGTATAATCTTTCTTAAACTGGGGGCTTTAAGAAATCAGCATATTTCAAAGATATTTACAAACCTTTAAGAGCTTTCTGCAATGTCTCCAAACAGCTGACCAAATGCTGGTGACCTCCAGAACTCATTACAACCCTCTTTTCCTGTGTTTAGTAGGAAAACATTTGAGGTAAAAATTAACCAAACCAACAGTGTTTCGTGTAAATGTACACATTATCCTAGTAGTAATACTTCAGGATAGTCCACAGGCTATATATTGTAGTCTGTAGGTTATATATTATAGTCTGTATACTCTAGATAGTCTACTGTTACTGTCAATCCAAGTTCATATACACAGATATATCCATATCCATATCCACATCCATGAAGGTAGAAAAATATACTCCCAGATCTAAAATAAGATAACCTTTGGGGAAAAATTAAGGAGAATCACAATGTAATAAATGAGATCAGCCTCCTATAAAATAACCACACCCAAAGATTTAGTCAGTTGAATGGGATGGCTCAGGAGATTTGACAGTTCTCAAATCCAACACGGTGATTTGTATGTAATCTAAGACAAAGAACCAGACTATAGTAAAACCAGATTGACTTTGAGAAACAGACCATGTAATCTAGAAAAGGGACTCCAAATAGCAAAATATTTGGCATAGTTTTTCTAACCCTATCTAAGGGAAGAAGTTTCCCTCTATACAACATTCCAGTCTCTGAAAATGTGAACAGTTTTATGCTACAAGGACAGCTTTTTGAGCTTTTCCATGCCCTAAATCTATCTTATTTTCTCTAACTCCACCCTCACAAAACAAAACATGTGATTAATCAATAATCTGACTTTGAATAGATAAGTGAGTGCTCTGGACAATGAATACTAGTATTTTCATAACCGTAAAGATAAAACGGTCTGTTGTAAATTAATAAATTGGCATTCTGATGCACATGTTAATCTACTGATATTTTATTTGTCAGTTGTTGAAAACTCTTCTAAGTCTTAGTATACCAATAAAATGAGGTTTCTGAATCTGCAAAATTGAGAAATAGACAATAGAAGCTCTGGTGTCCAAACCAACATACTTGTACTCCAACAGAGGGCCTTAGTAGCCACTTGGAGCTCCTCTATTTCATGGTGTCTTTCTAATGATAGTTTCATTTATAAAACATATTTCAAACTAGAATATGGCTACCTTGTAATACAAAAATGACAACCTCTGAATTCCCAGACTGAAAAAAATCACCATTCTTTTACTTAAGACTTTAAAAAACCCAAAACCTATGTACACAATCCTGGGCCAGAAGATACACATATATTTGTAAAACTTAGTTACAGAAATCTTTTAGAAACCCAACACTTTGCTATCCATAATCTCGTTCAATCCTTACAACAAAAAACTGTATGGTAAAGAAGACCGGTATTGTGTGCCTCTATTTTCCAGATGAGGAAACTGAGACTCAGAGATTATTAATAAATCTAAACTGAATTTACTCTGGACCCAAAATGAGGTTTGGTGGGAAGCAGGAAATACTTGCATTTAAGTATTAGTATATATATGGAAAAGTATATGAATCTTGAAGAGATTCATGAATCATCAGCAAGTGAAAACATCCATATAACCATTGCCCAGGTAAAAGTTTTCTTTCCATCATTTGATTACTACTGGAATCATATGGATGATCTTTTAACATCCAGCTACCACACTGTCTTCCACTTAACTAAGGGCTCCCCATACTGGTGAATGACTAAGGTAGTAGTAGTGTAGAGAAAGAGGTTAACAAGATGAACTGTAAACTCTACTAGTAATATTAATACAATGAAAAGTACTATCACATTAGAATCTAAAAGCTTAATAGGAAGTGAAGAATAAATGGCTCTCTACACCACTCTATCACATTGTGTCTCTTATAGGTATATTTCTTAGCACCTTTGCCTGAAGTACCCCAAAGTACTGTAACTTATGATTAGCACATTTTATAAATAAATCTTCTTAGGTAGACTCTTAAGGTTGATAGCCACCATGTATGTACTCAGGTGTTTAGATAAATAAAACCTGAAGACACATTATAATAACTAGTTTGAAAAACTCTACACTGGGAACTTGGCTTATTAAATAATTATCTATGCACAGCACTTTATAAACTTTACCACAATCCTCACCATGACTTGCCGTACAAGCTTAATGGTTTCACTCCAAGGTCTGTTTTGGTTAAATTTTGCATGGAGTCGTTCCAAGAGAGAGCTCATCTTACTCAGTTTTTCTGACTCTACAATATAAATCAGAAAACATCATTAGAAACTTTTCTTTCAAGACCTTCCATGGTTTCTCTTGCAAATGAAATCCCCATACTTCATCCTGGCAAGAACAGTAGAAAATTTTTTCACTTTCATTTGCTTCAAAACAAACATATTAAAAATAATTTATTTTTAATTAGACAAGACACACAAATTATGGGTCTTATCTAGAGGACACCATAGAACAAGACTGCTTTCTATTCAAACTTTTAATGAAAACCAAAAAAGAACTATCTCTAATGTTTCAAGGTCAGGACTAAAATTAAGTGACAAAATCATTTCACCATATGCATGAAATCCCTTGCATGATATATGTAGAACATACATGGCCTTACTGTTGTTAGTGGTTTTCAAAGTGAAAATACAGCCTTTCTTAATTTTCTGACATAACTTTAAGAGATCAGTTTATAAGTATTACCAAGTAACCAGGCTTTATTTGCCATTCAGTTTTTCATATTTTAATTCAAACTAAAATTACATGGACAGGAAAGACGTCAATGACTAAAGGATTGAGTTTCCAGTGGAGGTAAGAGAAAGGTAGAAGAAAATGGCTCCTGGACTGTGGGTAAATAAACTTTTGTCCTCCAACCTTACTTGAATTCTTCTGCTGCTTAGTATGAGCAAGAACCTATGCTAGAGACCTCTGACAATGCAAAAACACACAGTATGCCTGAGGTGACACATGTGATGGGTCTATTAAGTTAATGTGGAAATAACCATCACACAAAGCAAAGTAAGATATACTTGTACACAGAACTTTTTAAAGATATTCTTAAAATCAGAATTTTTTAAATTACTACTGAAATGCAAAATAAGATACTATTTAAAAAAATTTTAAAGAGTATTGAAATGCGAACAAAGAAAAGTTCATAATTAGTTGCGCTTATGTTAGAGAAAACGTTGACAGTTGATGTTGGCATTGAAAGAAAAACAAAATGTCAACGAAGTTGAAGCATTGACATCTTCTAAATCAAGATTCAAACTTCTTCCAATGCCCACAGGTTCTGGAAAAATGATTTGCAGGCCATTTCGCCAGTGTATTGTTCTGGACACATTTTTGGTAATTCCCATTTTCAAGACTCATTCATTCAAGCACTATTTTACATGCTGGGGATACAGCAGTGAACAAACTAGACAAAAATTTCTGCCTCAACAAGTTTCCATTTTAACCTTGTCATTCCTCTGTACCCAGGAGTATACCGTTTTTTTCCTCTTGGAAACACACCTCCCTTCTTTTCCTTGAGAAGTCTAATGACAAATATCTTTACACAAATGATCAAACATTTTCTGGGCAAATATTATGTGCCAGGACAATACAAGGATGAGTAAGAGAAGGTCCCTGACCTATGAAACTCAGAGTAAAGTGGAGATGAGTGAACAGTAACACAATGATCTGTATTAACAGAACTATGCCCAAAATGATAAGGAAGCAGTTAAACAGGTGTGTGTAACTTTTAGAAAATCTAAGTTTCCACAAAGTTGTTTTTCAGAAGTTCTAAGTTACTCCAGCCACTGAAAGGATGAATCTAAAGCATTTTTTAAAGTATATAATAGCACCAGATCGGAACACTGTGACATTCTGGGGAACTGCAGGCTTTTAATATTATAAAGACCTACTTTCCTTCACGCCAAAACATCCTCCAGTAAGTTGGCACCTAGCTCTGTATTACTGTTTTTGTCATTATTCAGACATCTCTTCTGGAACGAGGTATAAGCATGTTTTAGATTCACTCACTTTGTCTCCCTTCACTTTAGGCTAAAAATGCCCCAAGGCCCAAATGATTGCCCCTAGATAAGCTGGAAACCTTCCGAGAAGTTGGGAGCCCCCATTACCCCAAAGTCGGAGCTATCACCATGGCAGGCAGTGAGATCTGAAATTCACACGTAGCCCGCCTCTTGGACTCTGCGCCCTGGGGACAGTGGCCCCACCTGAGGTATCGGCCCCCTAGCTCTTTGCACAGACTGGATCCCCCAGGCTGTTTGCCGCCCCGTGCTTTCCCCCTCAGTCACTCACTCACCCTCGGTTTCCCCCTGAGCCTTCATCCTGACGGTGGTGAGGGCCTAAGTCCTACACAAGAGGATAAGCCCTTCCCCACCACCAACGAGGGAACCAAGCTGGTTCAGGCTCCCGGGAAGCAGGGTTCCAGCAACCCCCACTCTTCCCGGGAAGGTTCAGTCTGAAGTCCCGGGCGGCAAAAAGAGTAAGGTGCTCGCGGCCGCCGCCATCTTCCCCAACGGAACTTGCTAAATATCGCGAGATTAACCGTGATCTGCGAGAAAGAGGAAAAGGGCTGGGTACCAAAATATCGCGGAAAATGGTGAATGTGGTGCTTCTCGCGAGATTCTTCGAACTGTTCCTTTAGCTGTTGGCTGGCTCGTACTTAACGTTGCTTGTTGTACGCCTTGGTTCTCCTTTGCTCTCGGCCTTCTTCGGTTATCGGCGTTTTCTTTTTGGCATTTAAGCAGTTCGCAAATTAAAATCCCTGGCTCTCTTTACTGTAAGACTAGTCTTTTGAAGAGTGTTGGCATCAGGAATATTAAGATAATATTCTTTCTTGAGATGCTAGGTGGAGTAATTATGCCATAAAAAAAAAAGATAATTGGCACTTTATAACATAGTGTTCCAAGCCAGCCCAATACATTTAATTCCCATTTCCTATTTTTGAATTTCAGAAGTATTTCTGAAGCAATTACAAGTTTTTATTTTTTGAAGATCTGGGAGGTGGGATTGAAGTAAACTTGTTTGCATCAGTCAGAGCATCAGATGCTATTATATGTAGGGTTCCAAAGTTCACAACTGATTGTGTCCCTTTTTTGTAATCATAATGAAAGTAAGCAGTTGAGCTATTCAACACTACAAGTCACAAAGAATGTGTGGGCATATCTCATTCCAGTAAACTCTCACAAAGAGAAATCTAGTAATGCTAAGAAGTTGATAGCCTCTAGAACTGAAGAACCAAGATAGCACTGGGTGAAAATTCTTGATATAGTTAAGGCTTTTTTTTTTTTTCTTTAATGTTCTTTTTCCATACACATCCTTTAAAATATCAGCTGAAAATGGGGATTTGCCTAGTTTGCTTCAAGGATAGTAAGCAGTGGCTTTCTACTAGCTCTCTAGTCTCGGGCTTTTCCCACATTTCAAAAATGCTATTCGAACATCCTCCAAAGCCTTTCCAGCAGATGACTACAGTTCAGGTGAGCACCTAGGCATAGCAGTGTAAATCTAAAGAGAACAAATCTTTGGAAATGTCTGGGAACATGTTTATTGCCATAGAAATGTAACCATGCTCCTTAATAGTAGAATTCAATTTTTTTTAATTCTTTCCTTTGAGTTACTACACTGAGTTTTTTTGGAGCAGAAATTGCCCCTCATTTCTGAGTCCCCATCACTAAACACTGTTCTTGGATCTACTAGGCAAATCTACAAAGCCTTGCTTAGACTCAGCCCTTCTCCCCTTGCTGGTTGTCAGCCACACTGGCTTCTTTCATGTGCAATTCCTGCGTTCCTTCCTCTCTCAACATCCTTGCACAGGCCTGTTTAACTGCTAGGATGCCTTCTCCCACCTCACCCCCATCACCTCGTTAAGGCCCTCTTTCTCAGATCTCAGTTTAAAGTCTTTAGAGAAACAAGCCTTCTCTAACCCCTAATTTGATCAGGTTCTCTGTTATATTATCACAAACTTCTCCTTAGCACTTTGACCATCAAAATTAATTAAATACATGATGATTTGTTAAGTGCCCGTCTTCCCTGCCAGACTGTCAACTCCAGGAGGGCTACACTGGGTCTATTTCTTCCACTACTGGGTAATGACATTGCCTAGCCCAGCTCCTGATACCTGTTAGAGACTCAATGCATATTGTTGGGATAAACTGATAGGGTTGCCACAGTGAAGGAAACTATCAACAAAACGAAAAGGCAATCTACTGAATGGGAAAGATATTTGCAAATGATATATCTAATAAGGAATTGATATCCAAGATATATAAAGAACTCATAAAGTTCAACTCCAAAAAAACAAATAATCCAATTAAAAAACAGGCAGAGGAACTGAATAGACATTTTTCAGAAGACATACAGATAGCCAACAGACATGTGAAAAGATGCTCGACATCACTAATTAGAAAAATGCAAATCAAAACTACAATGCAATATTATCTCCCACCAGTCAGAATGGCTAGTATCAAAAAGACAGAAATCACAAGTGTTGGAGAGGATGTGGAGAAAAGGGAATCTTCGTGCACTGTTGATGGAAATGTAAACTGGCACAGCCACTATGGTAAGTAAGCAAGTATGGAGGTTCCTCAAAAAATTAAAATAGAAATACCATATGATCCAGCAACTCCATTTCTGGGTATTTACCCAATGAAAACAAAAATGCTTAATTAAAAAAGAGGTATGCACCCCTATGCTTATTGCAGCATTATTTATAATACCCAAGATATGGAAGCAAACTAAGTGTCCATATATAGATGAATGAATGAAGAAGATGTGATATATATACACAATAGAATATTGTTCAGCCATAAAAAGAATGAAACTTGCCATTTGAGGCAACATGGATGAAGCTAGAAGGTACTATGCTAAGTGAAATAAGTCAGATAGAGAAAGATAAACACCATATGAACTCATTTACATGTGGAATCTAAAAAACAAATGAGGAAAGAAACAAATAAACAACCCAGGAACAGACTCATAAATACAGAGAATAAACTGGTGGGTAAGGGTGGATTCGGGAGGAGGGTAGGCAAAATATATGAAGGGGATTATAAGATAAAACTTCTAATTATAAAATAAATGTCATGAGATGAAAGCAACATGGGGAATAAAATCAATAATATTGTAATGATTTGATCTGGTAGCAGATGGGAGCTACACCCATCACGATGAGCATTTTGTAATGTATATAAATGTTGAATCACTCTGTCATACACCTGAAACAAAAAAATCAATAGGGTTGTGGGTTGCTAGATAAAATACAGAATGCTCAATTAAACTTGAATTTCGGAAGATCAATGAATATTTTTAGTATAAAAGTATGTTCCAAATATTATATAATACAAATCTAGCAACCTTAATATTGGCAAAGTACAGAGAGCATTTATCCAAGTGAAAATTTTCAAAGATAGTTCATATTCAGAATGTTTCCTGTTGTCTAATAACATGCTCAACAAGCATCTATGAAGTCTTTATACATGTGTACAGGAGCTCGGGTATTATAAACATGAAAACACAACCCCAGTCTTCAATGGGCTCACCTGACTTCGAATTCTGAAAATACAATTGGTCACTATAATCATAGGTACTCAAAAATTTTTGTTAATTTATTATTATGCCCAAAGTATCAATGTTAGATATACAGCTACACTTCCTCATGGAAATGCTCTGTACAGATAACAATGTCTATACTAAGTGTAGCTAGGAAATTTTAAATTATAAAATTACAAAGCTTGAAAATAGAGTAAGTTTTGATCTTACTTGAAAGATAGAAAAAAATCAGAGTAATTTTGCTGAACTCATGCTAATGTTTAATAAGGTGGGCTAGTCACTTCCTCTAATTGGCCCATTAAGTCAGCCAGCACGGCAGATACTAGTGGGAAACTTTACATCTTGCAGCTATAAATGAGTAGTTACCACAGCTGAGTTCCAGTACTTAATTCCATCCATTTTTTCTTGATAGTATTAACTTTACTTCCATAGATTATTAAAAAGTTGCTATGAAAACTTTATCTTTTGCATTTTTAACCAAGATTTATGAACTCAAACATTTGTATAAAAAACTTTTTTGGTACCCATGTGATCAAAAGCAACAAGAACATTTTCAGGGAATGATTTTGAGAGTGAACTCTTCTGTCTTCATTCAGCATGTTTTCTGGCCCCTATACAGACTGATTCTACCATCCTTGCCTGTACACGTCCTATCTGCTCTTCCCCAACCATCTCAAATGCCCTACCTTTATAAAGCTTTCTCTTAACACTCCCAACCTCCTTTTGAACTGCTGCAGTGCTTTGTATCATTCTTACGACATTTATCACCTTATATTTTGTAGTATGAAGGTATTGTCTATATCCTACTTGAGGCCTTATGTCTGTGGTCACTATTACATAGAGAAGGGCCTTACAATATCACAGATAAATTTTTTGAAGAAAAGAATGAAGAAACAGATAAGTCACTTCACTTCTTTGTGCCTTAGTTTCCTTACTTTAACAACCCTATTTCAGATGGTTGTTGTGAAGATGAGTTAATGGGTGTGAAGTTTTCAAAAGTAAAAAATGAAGAGCCGTGTAAGATACTATTTTTCTTGTTTATAATTACAATCTTCTGTGTGAAGCTAAGAGGGTAAATGATTCCAGAGGAGCCATAGATGGTCCCTAAATGTGATGAGGTTTCAAGTTCTTAGATTTTAAACCGAGTTATGACTAGTGCCACACTATTGAAAAGAGCTTGTGCTTTGGTGTCACACATGACTTTGAATTTCAACTTTGGCACTTTCTGGACTGTTACCCTGAGTGAGCTATTAAACTTCTGTGAGTGAGAGTTTTCTTATCTGTAAGGCAGGAATGAAGATATCGTGTTTTGCAGGGTAGTATGAGAATTAGTGATAACATGCAGTATAAGATACGCAAGTGGGAGGCATTAATACTTAAGAACTTGGGTTGAAATGTCCCCACGCTTGTGTTTTGTCCTGTTGACAGTATTTTCATGGCGATAGTTAAGAGCTGTTTCAAAGTATACAAAATTTAGTTTACTCTAGTGCCTGAGATGATGTGTTCCATGTGTTATCAATAAAGTTTTGGGTATAAAAAAAATTCTCCTAGCTCGGTTTCAATAAAGCTTCGCTCAAACGGTGAGTGGGACTTCATCGCGAGAATGTGGAAAACCGCGTTTCTAGCTCCGTACCTGCTCTCGCGTTGTTTGACAAAGCAGTGGTGAAAGGTGAAAGGGAAGCACAAATACCGCGAGAGCCAGCGGATTCTCGCGATATTTTCTGGGATTGCCCCCTCCCCCTTCCTCCAAGTGCCGTTTCGGTTTTATCTAGTGTGTGACTGAGTCTGAGAGAGCGAGGGAGTGTGTGAGGTACTGAGGTGAGGCGGAGGCAAGAAAAAGGGGCTCCCTCAGGAGCGAGGAACAAAGGGGGCGTGAGGCATCTAGGCCGCGGGACCCCAGCGACAGGAAGCCGCCCTGAGCCGGGCTACCGGGTAGGGGAAGGGCCCGCGCAGTCCTCACAGGGCCCCAGAAACGGAGTCG